TTATTTATTTATTTTCATTTTTTAAATTTATTTATTAAATTTAATTTTACATATCAGCCACAGATTCCCTTGTTCTCCCCCCTCCCACCTCCCCAACCCCCCAAGCACTTGCTTTTAGAAGAAACAAAAGAAAGACTTTATATTACTGACAATTAAAATGGCCTTCAAGGGACAAGTTCTAGTGACAGAAAAATCAGTTGACTGTAATGATACATTCAATAGGAAAAGAGAATGTACGTGATTTATGATGTGATCAACTGAATAAGTTTTATGACACCTGTCTGAATATGATTAATAAGAAGATAGGTTGTGATGGTTAATCTTAATTGCCAAATTGACCCAACCTGGAATCCCCTGGGAAGAGAGATTCAATGAGGGATTGGCTAGATCAAATTGCCCTAAAGATATGCCTCTGGGGAGATGGCTGGATTACTTGGTAATCAGTGTGAGAATTCACATCCCTCTTTGGGCAACACTATTTTCTGGCTTTTGATTTAGGACTACATAAGTGTGGAGGACAGGGTCAGTACAAGTGAGTATGCATGCATTCGTTTCTCCCTCTGCTCTCGATTGTAGACGAGATGGGACTAGCTGTTTCATGTTCTTGCCATCTTGACTTCCTGTAACAATAGAATTGTGAGCTGAAATAAGCCATTTCTCCCCTGAGTTGCTTTTTGTCAGGATATTTGATCACAACAAGTAAATGAAAATAGGACACAGGTCTTAGGGTGATGGAAGTTTTTCACTTACAAGTTAAGTGTGAAGAAAAAAAAAATCACAATGGCATATACTATTTGGTTTTCCAGAGCTATTGTCCTTGGCACTGGGGAGAACCAGCTTGTTCATTCGTGCCCCCTCTTGCTCAGTCCTTGACACTGGAGAGAACCAGCTTGTTCATTCGTGCCCCCCCCTTTCTCTGTCTAGCTCTCCACTTCTGAACATCTGTATTATGTTCGTCATCACCACCACATGTTCTTCCTCCTTTGCCTACTTTTCTCTAGTTCTCTATGTGGTCCCTTTTCTAAAATATTTTATTTTATTTTATTTTACAATATAATTTAATTCTACATATCAGCCACGGATTCCCTTGTTCTCCCCCCTTCCCCCCCCTCCACTTCCCCCCAGCCCACCCCCCATTCCTATCGCCTCCAAGGAAAAGACTCCCCTGAGAATTGAGTTCAATCTGGTAGATTCAGTCCAGGCATGCCAGTCCCCTCCTCCCAGGCCGAGCCAAGTGACCCTGCATAAGCCCCAGGTTTCAAACAACCAACTCATGCACTGAGCACAGAGAGGCAGAACAAGGAATAGGAGGAGACCATGGTAAATGAAGACCACATGAGAATAGGAAGAAGCAAAGTGCTAGAGAGGCCCACAGAAATCCACAAAGATGCCCCCACAATAGACTGCTGGTAATGGTCGAGAGACAGCCCGAACTGACCTACTCTGGTGTTAGGATGGCCAAACACCCTAACTGTCATGCTAGAAACCCCATCCAATGAGTGAGGGAACTGGATGCAGAGATCCGCCCCGGGTGGAGCGCTGGGAGTCCAATTGTCGAGAAAGAGGAGGGTTTATATGAGCGAGAATTGTTGAGACCAAGGTTGGATAAAGCACAGGGACAAATAGCCAAACGAATGGAAACACATGAACTATGTATCCCCAACTGGAACAGGCCCTCTGAATAGGTGAGACAGTTGATTGGCTTGATCTGTTTGGGAGGCATCCAGGCACTGGGACCGGGTCCTGTGCTCTATGTGGTCCTTTTACGACGGCCTTTCTTTCTCGAGGCCTGGTTATGACTTTTCTGTAACTGCTATTTACTCTTCCCCAGATAACGTCACAGAATCCTAAATTGGCAAATGCCATTTTATGCTTATAGCCTACAAATTGCTACAATTATGCTGATGCATAAAGTTACCTCTACCAGTTTTCATATATGGATATCACTAATATCTTATACTCTTGATTTGTATCGGCAGCTTCTAACCCATCTCTACTGTTGTTTACCTTATTCAGTAATACTCTGTCTCTCTTGTCTATCCACATGGAAAACAACCTAAGAACAATCTCTGATATTATCCACGTTCCTTCCAGTCAGCCAGTGATACCCATCAATTCCAATTCAGAATAGATTGACTGTATTTTCTTCTTCCTACTTCTGTTTCTTACAGTTTAGTTCAAACTATCACAAAACCATTTTATATAATCGTTCAATGACTTCCTATGTCTTTTGAAATATAATTCAAACTCCTATAGAACTCCCCATCCTCACAGGCAGCCTTACTATCTGAGCTGCAACTGCTTTTTTCTAAACATATAACAGTTTTTTTCCCATTACACCACTTGATTTCAATATTTCTTCAGTACCAAGCAACACTTACTGATCTGGTGTCTTTGAGTATATATATATAAAGATTGAATGAGGTTGTATTATGAGTTATAACTATAGGATGGCGAAGGTGGAGACAGAGAGATCGTGGGGACTCACTATCCAGTCGGCTTAGCCTACATTGCAAAGCTCCAGGTCACTATTTCATAAAACAAAGTATACAACTCCTAAGAAATGACAGATGAAGTTGACATCTGGCCTCCACATGCATGTACATGTATGTGCACATGCCTGCAAATGATACCCCCTCACACATCTGTACATACAATACCAAAGACTGACTGGGAATCTTTCCTATATTCAATGCAAAATTGTTTATGTTCTTTCTCTATCTCATTAATGTCCTTTTATTTAACATAAGCATTTTTCTCTTCAAAGTTGTGTTTATTTGTAACGTTGCTTGTCTTAAGGTTAGTTTTCTATCATCCCTTTACTAGACTGTCATCAGCCTTATGAGATAGGACATGTCCTTCTTATTCACTCCTTTCTCTCTACAACAGAGGATGTAGGAAGTTGGTTATTGAATGAAATAATTATCACAAAAGACTGGTCTTCCTATTTCTATTTTCTTCTCTGTTACATTATTTTCAAAAGACCCCAAATAATCTTTTCAATTAAATTTGATCATGTCCCTTCCCTAATTTGATCACAATACAAATAGGGTGGAGCCCATTATATTGATTTTCAGTGATGTTTCCTTGCTCATTGTACTCCAGTTATCTTTCAGTTCATTGATACCAAATTCCCCTTGCTTGAATGGCTCTTCCTGATGTTCTCTGTATAGGTATTTCCTCATTCTTTAAACATTGGCATGTTGTTTTTTAATGAAGTACTTTCTCTGAATTTGAGGTAAATTATTTTTTTCCTGGAGCTTGAATGTATTTATTGTTAGTATTCATTAGCTTTTCAGTCACTAAAACTATATATATATGCACATTTATTTTTCACTAACCTCTTCTGTTAACATGATGGATAATGATGCTGGTCAGACTTTCTTTAGCATCCAAACATGATGCTTTCAATAATTAGTGTTTTAATTTAAATGATATGCAATGGTAGTAGAAGGTTTTAAAATAAATGAGATTACCAATGGTTACAAACTAGAAGTTGGTTCCATCTGCTTTGGTGTTGTATTGTTTTTAGGGAAGCACATTGTCTTAATTTTTAATATCTATAAATGCAGCATCAATTTTCCAATGAATTATAACCCTTGTCGGAGGGAGAGATTAAAATTTTATGAAAAAAATGTAAGGCATAACATCTCTTAGTAAGGACATAAGCTCACTAATTTCTGAATGTCAAGGTCCAGAGGGAGTGGCTTGGAAGAGGTTGTTGGGTAATAAAATCGTTCATCAGAAGGGTAAGCGTGAGGTAGTTCTTTGAGACAATGGATAATTACAGACTTCATTGCCGGAGTCTCAGTATTAATAAAAGGGAACAGCAAAGTCATTCCTCACCTCCTCGTTCAGAATTGATTTTGTGGTCTGTATTAGGTATTTTCCCCCTCACTGTGACAGAATGCCTGCCAGACAGCTTGAAGGAAGAAGTTGACTTCTGCTATGGTTTCAGTGGGATTTCAATCCATCCAAGTGGGAAGTCAAGCAGAACAGCTGTGACTCTGGCAGTGCTATTCATACCGTAATGGGCAGGCAACAGAGCAGGGTTGTCCCCAGTGACCTATTTCCACCGAGCAAGCCCTTCTTCCCAAAGACACCAAAACCTTCATAATGGTAAACTGAGAATTCGGTGTTGAAAGCACAAGTCAGAATTATAGCAAGAAGAAAGAAGGAAACATCAACATTAATGTACTGATGAATACAAAATAAATCAAGTTCAGAAACCAACAGCTAGAGAGGAAAGGAGAACAAAAAATGGCTTCCTAGTTGCTTAGGGAAGAAACTATTTTAAGTGGTAAATTGAATCTACAGATAAGATTAAATATGTAGTTAGGTTCTATTGTTAAGAAGAGCCCGCGTGACCAGTGAAAATCTTATAAAGGAAAGCATTTAAAAGTGGGTTTATAGTTTCAGGGCCATTATCATTTAAGGGTTAAAATTTCCCTCCTTTAGGTACCCTTATAAGTTTTATAGTTCAAATAAGCACAGAAACAAAACTGGAAGATTTCATTAGACTGCAGCAACTTGTAAATACTTATATAATAAAAGGAAAGAATCAACCCATTGGAAATGTTCACAAAGAGTAGATGGTATCATTAAACCATCAGTAAGGCATACAGTATGTACAAACAGCAGGAAGGAGCTAGCACTTCAGAGAAATAGGTCCTTTGATAACCGAGGGAAGAATCCTTGACTTAGAATTGTTTCTTTATGGCTAAAATGTAGATTTAACTTTTGAATTTACTCACAATTTTTTTATTATTAAGTAGTTGTTCTATTTTACATTTAGATTAGCTGACATATTTAGACGGTTTAGGTACTTATTCATTATATTTTTTTTTAAAGTGACATTGATGTTTGAGCAAGAATGTCAATATTCTGGGTGTGACTACAACTAATTTCCAGGATGTCTTGCATAGTAACTTGCATGTATTATGCTGTACAATGTAGTTAATTTTTCACTAACATTCTATACCTACATTTATTTCATACAGGTAACAAATACTGGGTGTTCAAGGATACAACTCTTCAACCAGGTTACCCACATGACTTGATTACCCTTGGGAATGGAATTCCCCCTCATGGTATTGATTCTGCCATTTGGTGGGAAGACGTTGGCAAAACCTATTTCTTCAAAGGCGACAGGTCAGTATGAATGTGGCACACTACAGATACACACATTAACAGTTACCTAATAATTTGAAAAGCCAAGGTCCCTAATCAATAATAAACATTACTGTAAATAATGATACATATATATCTAAACACAAGAGTTAGTATACTAGAAAGATTGTCAGTGTGTTTTATATAATATATTTAAGATAAATTTTTATTGAATCCTAAATAATAGAGATATTATAGTAGAAAAGACCACAAGGCTCCTATTTTAACCCAAGGCTCCTATTATAACCATGACACTTTACATTCTTTTGGAAGAAGTGAATAATGAGCTAGAAAGAAACCAGTGACCTTGATTGTTTTCATTCTGAAAAATACCACTAAGCAGTACAGCAAGATTATGATGAGACCAAGAATCATGAGGGCTGAGATGACAAAATGTCAAAGACCATGTGAAGTAACCTCTGGATATAGCTGGATTTCAGTCTGGAATTCAGTATCCTGCAATATGTCACTGAAATAAATTGCTCTAGAGGTTTGGATTTCGCTCCCCCCTCCCACCGCCCCTCTTTTTCTTAGCATAGAAATTTAAATTTTATTTAAACATTTTAAATTTTATGTGGTGTTGGATGCAAAGCTTGTTTCTTTTCGGTGTGATTTATAAGTATGCCTGAAAACCGATTACTATTTCTGGTCATGATTTATTTTGAAGTGTTGACTAGGTACACGTTTCACAAATAGTGCCCTACTTAGCCTGGGGAGATGGCCCAGTGATTAAGGGTGGTTTCTACTCTTCCAGAAGATCTGTTTAGTTCTCAACATCTACATTGGGTGGCTTATAAGTGCTTGTAACTCCAGCTCCAGGGTACCTCATGCCCCTTTTGGACTACACAGGTCCCCACAAACATGCAGTATATAGTCACACAAACACATACATATAAATATAAATAAGTCTTAAAATGACTTACCTAATTAAAGTCAGAATTATGCAATATAGACAACTGTCAAAGCAGATGAAAAGGCTATAATGTCCTTTATAATCCTTATAATATTGTTGCAAAGGGTTACTTTGAGAAAGGTTCTCCCTATGTGGTCTAAGTTGACTTTGAACTTGAAATGTTTGTTCAGCCTCCTAAATGCTAGAATTATAGGCTCATGCCACTACACCAAAGTTACATAATTCTGTCAATGGAAAAAACATGAATATGAAACAGCTCATCCATATGCCAAAGAGTTACTTTGGGACAATAGTAAAAGATTTCTCTATGAAAATACCTAGCTTTCAAATTGCTCAACCTGTTTAAATTACAATGTTAAGATCTGAATATACTTTTTAATCTGTTAATGAATCCATAAGCTCAGTTTTCAGGGGAAAAAAACAAAATGTTTGATTTTTTTTGTTAATGTTGAAATATCTATGAAATTAAAATAGGCACCTGTGGTTATAAGTCCAACAATTTTTGTAAGATACTGTGGATAGGGTTGAACAGTTCTAATCCCATTCAAGATAGTGAGCTACATATTAAAGCTGACATGCAACAGAAAACCTAAACATGTAAGCTTAAGTTCACTTTCTCAAATTGCAAAATGATCTCAAATTGTACTTTCCATTCCTTTCTAGGAGAGGTGAAATTTATTTGTTTTGACAAATTCACCCAGAATTCTATTCCTATATGTAATTTATAATACAAATTAGCACCCCTTAAATAACTTCTGGAAATGTGATTGCTATGAATGTTCCATGACCTGTGATATGGACGTTTTGATGAATGTTGATGGCTGAGTATTCTAAGAATACGTCAGGAGGAAGAAAACTTATACCAAAAGTTTTGAAGAAAAACAGGGTATCACTGGGCAGCAACATTGTCATAAGCATGCTGTGTCTAAAAAGTACTAGCAACAGCATGACTCAACATCACACTGAGCTATGAACTGAAGAGTTAGTTTAAATTTTAATTTTAAATTACTAAAATGGAAGAAAGATGTATTAGGTGCCAGTGCTGTTTTGTTGGTTCAACTGGGTGCCATAGCTGCTGTGATTATTGTTTGGACACTATCACGGGGAACTTAAAGTACAACATAAGAATCATTGAGGAAATTAAGTGTAATAAAATAATATATTGTGTTGATTCACCCTCTATAGACATAATACCCTATATAAAGTATGAATATTATTATATTGAGGTATGTCAGAAAACTAATCTGATTTTAAGCGTTTAATGATGTTATTAGGTGACCATGCTATCCACAGGATTTTAAATTTCCCAATATTCTAGTTTAATATTTTACAATTCACTTTAACTTACAGTTAAATCATCTGCAATGAGTGCATGTGTGATGTTCCATTATTTAATTTATCATTTAAAGGAAACCCCTAATGAATAAAGTTTAATCCTATACCAATTGCAAATATGTTCTTACATATACAGATTCAAAGATATGTTCTCCACGTTCATGCTATTAGGTATTGCCTTATTTCCCTATGCCAAATTATACTTGGTTCAATGCAAAAAAACAATTATATATGACTTTAAGTTCTACTGAAATATTTACTTAAGGTTGATCTTTAGATTATGTCTAGTTTCATTTTTCTGTTGCTGAGATTAAAAAAAATTACCCCAGCAAAAGTAGCTCAGCAGAGAGGTTATTTTGTCTGACAGTTCAAGTAGTCATTCATCCTGTAGGAGAAAAAAAGGCAGCAGGTGACTGAAACATCTGGTCACATTGCATTCCCAGTAATATACCGGAGAGCAAGCCTTTGTAATTCTTAACTTGTATTCTTCATTTTGTATAGTTGTATAGTTCAGGGTCCCCTTCCTCAGAGAATGGTCCCACACACAAGCAACAATTACTGTGATTAAGATAATCTACATCCTTCAAGTATGCCCAGGGGCCTAGCTATTGTATCAATCAAGTTGATAATTAACATTAACCATTAGAGAGTGTAAGTAGTTACGTCTCATCATTCAAACCTATGCAATCTGTGATCCTAACTCACTGCTGCTCCCTCCCTGCTGCTCCCTCCCTGCTGCTCTCTCAGTTCTGCACTCACTGCTGCTCCCTCCCTGCTGCTTCCTCACTGCTGCTCTCTCACTGCTGCTCCCTCACTGCTGCTCTCTCAGTTCTGCACTCACTGCTGCTCCCTCACTGCTGCTCCCTCACTGCTGCTCTCTCACTGCTGCTCTCTCACTGCTGCTCTCTCACTGCTACTCCCTCACTGCTGCTCTCTCACTGCTGCTCCCTCACTGCTGCTC